TGCCAGGAAAGCTCCAGAGGAGGCCTGCCTTCCCCTCCGGGGGTCCGCCTGCCGGGGTCCACCTCTGCCTTCAGAGACCGCTGGCTGCTTTCATGTCCTGGGTGAGGGCCCGGGGTCCTTCTGCAGCTCTGGGACGCCCCCCTTCTCAACCCACCAGTCTCAAGCTGGCTGATCTTGTAGTTGAGCAGTAGAAGCTGACTGTCGGAGTTGCTTTAAGTTTAGAGGGAATCCAGTTGCTCCAGTGATGAAGGCTTTGAGGGGCCGGCCCAGCTCCGCCCTTCCTTTGCACGCAGTGTTTTCACAGCAGCTTTGTTTATCCTCCGGAAGCCCTGGGGGGGCCACAGTTTGGGGAGCCACCTGAGCCACTTATTGGCGAAAGCGGCTCATCAGCAGTTCCTGGAAAGAGAGGGGCCTCTTCCAGCCCGTGTTAGCCGTCCTGGAGGGGTGTCGACCGTCCTCCTCGGTCAAATCCAGAGTCCCATGACTGAGACTCGATTGGATGGTGGCGGCGAGGCATGAGCTGGGGGCTTTGTCCTGCTCCCACTTAGAGGCAAAGACAGGTAACACAGAGCTGCCCGCGGCATCTGGGAGAAACTGGCGTGCGGAGAGTCGAGAGTCGTGAACGTCTGTCTTCTGGTTTGGTTTCCTTTTTTCGTAGAGTAACATTGAAGCCAAGAGAGATGGTTTTACCTTTACTGACCCAGTGTAAATATGTATCTAGACAGTTTTTAAATGTGTTCTTCATGAATGCGTCATTCGGCTCCAGAAAGCCTGTGTCACCTATATAAGTTGGTATTTGGGCACTTTATATTTTTCTAAAAATGTGTTTTGGATCCTGTACTCTAATAAATCATAAGTTTCTTTTTAAAAATTTTCCAAAAGTTTTCTCCATTTTAAAAAGCCCTGTTATAAAAGTAGAACTTTCACAATGTTAAAATACTAAATATTTGGATATAGTAACTTCTTTTCTCTTCAAATGAATGCCAAGATTTTTTTGTACAATGATTAATAAATGGAACTTACCCAGAGAAACCACACCGCTCGCCTGCCCGATTTCGTTCTGGTGCAGAAAGCTCATCGTGACCACAGCAGCCTCTCCCGCTTCTCCTCCTGATCCAAACATGCGAGTTTGCGCTCCTCAGTTTTCCTTAGCGTCCGTGAACACACAGGCCGCCCTTCCTGCGCTTTCCCGCCCAGCGCTGCTGTTCACTGGCTGGTCTCCACCTGGCGGCCGGCGCAGGCGGCGCTTTCCTCGTGTGCAGGTATGTGTGTGAGATGTCTTGCAGATGCCCTGAGGGAAACGCAGGCCCCGGGCTGGTGCCGATGCCGACTTGACAGCCGCGCAGCCACCCACGTCGTGCGAGGTCCCGGGGCGCTGGCTTCCTGATGTCTCCGGAGGAAAGCACAGCGCAGGCTTGGAGCCCCAGCCGCCACCACCCCACTGCGCATTGACTTCGAGAGCAGGGTAGTGTGCCCTGTCTCCCTAACTCCTGAGACCCCAGCAGCCCCCACCCTCCGCGCCCTCAGGCCCATGGCGCAAATGTACTTTGGGAAACGCGTCTCACTGAGATGTCAGTTATGTCAGAACTGGGCTCCCTGTCAGACCAGCTTTGCCAAGTGTCTCGTTTCAGAAAACACGCCTGTCTGATGAGACTCTGGAAGGCCAGCTTTATGTTGTCTCCACCTGGCCTCAGGGTAGATCTCCATTGTAAGTGCATTTACACAGAAAAAAATATCTTAATGAAAAAACCAGCACTAAATACTGTTGCTAAGTCAGTTTAACATTTTATAGTGTCACTGAAAGCCTTGCTCTGATGTTTGTCTCGGTGTTAGCATTACATTGAGTCACGCTTCATGTTCTGCTACCTCAGGGCCCTTTGCTGTAAAAGGGGGTATTTCTTCTGCTTCGTCCATGTTCCACATATGTGACATTGGACTACCAGCAACTTCTTCATTTCAAAGAATCGTGTGGCCATAACAGAAATACAGCTTTTCATGTTTTTTGGAGGGTAGGAGAGAATGTTGACCTAAAAGAAATGCAGAACATGGCTCTATGGAAACTTCTTTTGGGGAGACGTGGCTAACTGTAGCACATGTGCAGTTTTGTACTGCGTGCCAACTTGGAGCCTGGCACCCGAGTTGTTCATAGCCTCACAGGGCAGGGCCAAGGGGCAGATACTTTTTTGCCATCTGTGTTCATCTTCTGTCACATATTCTTTGTTTTCAAAATGGCAAAAAACAAGCTTAGGTCATGGGCTATAGAGGAAGAGGCCACAGGGCCTACAGGAGGTCACTTGCTGAGCCTGGGGAGGTCTGGCCTGCCCGGCAGAGAGGACGTTGAGCATATAGCTGGTTGGTGGCAGCCAGGCCACAACCCCCACATGTGACTGCAGATTTCAGCTCTGATTCCCCTCACACCACCACCGACTTGAGCAGCTACCTCGCCATGTTTTACCCTTTGCCTTGCAGCCGACTCTAACTTCTAATGTTGCAGTTCTGAACTTTTAGATCTTGAGGGTAAAGAACATTCCTTCAGTAAATGAAATTATGTGCAATTATAGAATAAATGTACTGTGGCCATTTAGCAATGCTGTTGTATTAGGGTAATGCTAGTTCTGTAATAAATAGACCCCAAAACATACAATGGCTGGAACACAGTAGAACTTTCTTGCTTGGGTGGTACTGGGCAGGGGAATGGGTTGGTGGGTTATGTGCTCATCTAGAGATTAGGCTTGCCAGCCTCTCATGTGTTCAGTGCTCAGCTTTCAAGAGCACCTGGGCTCTCCCTCGTCTTCCTAAAGGGGATTGAGCTGCAGGGACATATCTGGGAGGTCTCCCAGAGCCCTGGCACCCACACTCCCGAAGGAGGCTGGGGAATGAAGGTGAGGAGGCTGGCAGCCGCAGTCAGGGTCGGCTTTGATGCCTGAGTCCCGCTCTGGATGCACCCTGCATAGGGAGGCAGCCTGTGTTTTGTCAGGCTGTCTGGTGGCAAACATCCTGCCCCCACCAGCAGTGGGAACGCCCCATGCAGCGCCCTGTGCTGTCTTAAATTCTGTCTCTGCCGGGAGGAGGGCCTCAGTAGCCAGAATGGGTCGCAGGCCTGCCATTAATGGCAGAGGAGCCTGGGAAATGGCCCCACGAGCCCAGGCTCTGCCTCCCCGTGTCCTGCCCACTCACCGTGTCCTTCCCAAAGTCCAGCTGTCCATGGCTGTGCTGTCCTTTCGAGTGTCCAGGGTAGCTCCTCGGACCAGCACCCTGCCCTGGAAGTTACCTCACCCCCACGCCCTCATTCGCAGGTGAACAGGGATGCAGCCAATGCAGTAAAGACTCCCATTTGGAAAGGGAAGGCGACAAGCTTCCGGCTGGCCATGGTGAGATACTGAGGGGGGCATGGAGGGTCGCATGGGTGGGAAGCACCGGCTCCCACTTTGAGAGGAGCCCCGCCCCGCTCCCCATCTCTTCCCCACACACTCGGTCCTGCCCTCCCCTGTCACAGCACAAGTGGACTCTGGGGGCGCGGGGTGGGGGGGAGTGGTATATGCTGCCAGGGAGCTGTACAGCATTGCAGCCTGCTTCCTCCCTAGTGCAAATTTGAGGGCCAGCTCCAGACTTGTGTTTATTTTGATACGCATGTGATGATCTCTCTAGCATCAGTTCCTTCTAAAATGTAAAAGACTGCTAACTTACCATTACCAGCTATCCAAAAGGACCTAAAGCCCTTTTTTTTTAAGATTTACTTACGCATGAAGAAGTGGGGTACAAGCCAGAGATGCATGGGCAGTGAGAGGCTTCACCAGAGACAGAGTGGGGAGCAGAACAGGCAGACTGACGAAGGACACTGCTGAGGGGAGCAGCAGGGAGGCAGGTCTGCTGCGCCCTGTGGGTCACCTCCAGGGCGGGGATCGAACTTGCACTGAAGCGGCTGCAACTCTTGCAGTGCTGCGTCCCAACCCTTCGCGCCACCAGAGAAGACCTAAAGTCCTTTTCTAGGACTTTCCGGTCTGCTGTACTGCCTGTCTGTCCTGTCCTGTGCTCCTCTCCCCTGACTTACTGAGACTCACCAAAGCTTTGGCTGTTGAACGGGCTTTCAGTGCTCAGAGTGGTTTCCCTGAGCTTTTGCTGTGAGTGCGCGGAAGCAGTTGCCTTTCTCAGCACAGGAAGCCCAGGAGTCCTGATGTGCGTTTCAGCTCCTGGGCAGCCGAAATGCCGGTCTGGCTAAGCTGCTCATTCGTCATACCTTATAGTGAGCGTGAGGTACAGCGCTTTGTCGCTTCTCCCCTGCAGCACACCTTGCATTGTGCACTGGATTCCGGCCATCGCGACCAAGTGAGCGAGTCGCACCTTTTTCTGGTTTCCCAGTAAAAAGTTACATTGACACTGCCCTGCAGTCTTTCAAGTATGCAAGTCGTGATGTCTAAACACCTAGAAAGTACTTCATTACTAGAAAGTACTAACCATTAGCTCAACCTTCAGTAAGTCAAACCTTTTGCTGTTAGAGGGTCTTGTTAAAAAAAAAAAAAGCAATGAAGCAAGGTAAGACCGCACTTCCCCTAGGACAGCTGCAGCGCCATGCCCTCTGCCTTGCCAGTCACGGGCGGCAGTTTCCCCAAGGCCTGAGCCTGAGAACCCCCTCGAGGCTCCAGAGCTAGCACCAGGCATGGAAGCAGCAGCAGGGGCCACTTCACCACCTCCCCAGCGGCCCAGCTGGGGCCCAGGCTTCTGGCAGAGGCCAGCAATGATGGCGATGGCAGCTGTCCCCTGCCCCCACCCGGGGCCAGCTCCAAGGCCGTGGCTCCCTCCAGCTGCAGGTGCTGGACAGGCCTCTGGACTTGGTGCCTGGGTGGTGTAATGGACGCATCAGGTGCAAGCTGTGAGCTGATAGGCACGTGGGCCCATCCGCCATAGGGTTGAAACCTGTCCAATCTGATTGGGAGGTGCGGGACCCTACAAAGAGGAGATCAGGCTGGGAGAAGCCAGCTGCTGCCGCTGCTGCTGCTGCTATGGCCCAACAGCTTACAAAGAGCTGTAATGTCAGTGACCGGGTGACTGCACTGCTGCCCAGGCTGTGGACACTGTCGGGTCCACCTCCGAGGCCTGTTGCCCGGCGGCACCGCCTCCTGGTGCTGCTGTCTGCCCCGGCATCCGTGCTGTCCATCCCATCTCAGACTGTGGCTGTGCTGCCGCGGCGTCCGCCCAGCAGCCCCACCTGTGAGCACCTGCAGTGCAGCGGTGAGTCGGACCCTGGCCCCTGCTTTACCCGGCTGCCGTGAGCGCCAGGCCCCCATTGGCAGGACAGCGCCATCTTGGATGGGCGCCATTTTAAGGACTTTTGGACACTGGACACCACCTGGGGTGAGCTAGCCAGTCACTTATGGCCTCAGTAATTGTTTTCCATTGGTTAAATAAACCCCATTGTTCTGTGAGCCTGAGTGGTCTGGCAGTTGTGTGTGGGAGGGTCAGGAGCCCACAAATGGTGACCCATCCCTATTGGACACTGTCCTTTGGGGCTATAACACCCCATCGGGTTTCAGGACAACCCCCAGACACAGCCCTCCACCTCCGTGCCTGCTGTCTCTGTCCAGCAGACTGCCGAGCTGACCTGAGTCCAGGTTTCCTCCTCAGCCATTCTCCTGCCAGCTTTTAGTTTAAAATACACTGAAGCTTCCATAGGAGCTTCTAGTGCTTCTTCCTGTTTGGCTGTGCAACCAAACCAAAGACAGGTCAAGTCTTCTGGGCAGTGGGAAAAGCTAAAGCAAGTTGTCTAGTGAACTTAGGAAGTTGTACAGAATAAGAGAAATTTGGGGAAGAACCAAGGGCTGGTTTGCAGTGTAGAATCTGCACATGGTCTCTTAACAATGACAGTTTTTATTTTCATTCTTTATTTTGTTGTGACAAAACTGGTTTGCAACTCTGGGGTGAGCTAGCCAGTCATTTGTGGCCTTAGTAACTCTGTTTTCCTGTTTGTTAAACAAACCCCTTGTTGTTTCCTGAAACTGAGTGGTCTTGCGCTCGTGTGCAGTGTGAGGAGCCACGGTAACCTGTGCTGACAACTGTAAACACTCTTCAGGTGCGTGTTACCACGCACCGTACCCACCACCAGCACACCAGTAACTCCACCACAGTCCATCGGACCCTGCCCTGCCCCGCCCCCCCGTGCCACGCCCCACCACGCCCCCACCCCCCTCTCAGGAACCTCAACTCTGTACTCTGACTTCTAGCATTTGCTTGTATTAATTTTCCCCTTTGCTTTCTAACCCCATATGCGTGAGATCTGGCATTTGTCTTTTTCTTGGCTTATTTCTCTTAGCAGAATTCCTTCTAGCCTCATTCACGTAATTTTGGGTGGTGAAATTTCTGTCTTTTTAATCGCTGAATAGTACTCCACGGTGAATAGATGCCACATCTCGGCCCACTCACGTGTCTGGTACTTAGGTTGTTTCCATAGCTTGGCCACTGTGAAGACTGCTGCAGTGAGCACAGCCAGCCAGGTGTACGCCCTTTTGAATTAGGGTTTTTAAGGCTATTTGGGGTTTATGGACCTCACTCTAAAGCAGTCAGTTAACCCAACAGCAAAATGTGTTTATAACAACAGAAGAGAGGACAGTTCAGTGTTAAGCTCCATATTCACATCTCCCAAGCTAAGAACCCCTTAAGTGACACCTTGGGGACCTCCCTACCTCAGTTCCATACACCTGGCTGGCTGTGCTCACTGCAGCAGTCTTCACAGTGGCCAAGCTTTGGAAACAACCTAAGTGCCAGACACGTGAGTGGGCCGAGATGTGGCATCTATTCACCGTGGAGTACTATTCAGCGATTAAAAAGACAGAAATTTCACCACTCAAAATTACATGAATGAGGCTAGAAGGAATTCTGCTAAGAGGAGAAGCAGCTGTATTTCTGGTGGGAGATGTGCCTTGCATTCTAGAAGTGATGGTCCATCACTTTGCCCTTTGTGAGAAGTATCACCTCAACTAAGAATCCTAGGCCTGGGCCTCCCTCTGCCCCCAGAGCCCTGTCCCTGCTCAGGACTGACCCTTGCTGTCCTGTCTTTGAGTGTTTAAAGTGCTCTCCTCTGTGCCAGAAGCTGTAGTAAAAAACCAGCGAAGCCCATCTGAATCCCTTGGCCAGAAACTTGTATTCTAGAGATCTCTCTGCATAAGTTTGCACAGCTCTCTTTGCTGCGTGTATCGATTTGACCCCAGGAGCCCTAAGAATTGTTGAAACAAAAGGCACTGACGCCTCTGAGCACCTGCCCCTGGTGGAGCAGCAGGTTAGGACACAGCACTGCAAGCGAGCTGCAGCCACCTCAGTGCTAGTTCGACCCCTGCCCCGGAGGTAACCACATGGCGCAGCAGATCTCTCCTGTCTCCCCGCTGCTCCCCTCAGCAGTGTACTTCGTTCATCTGCCTGTTTTGCTCCCTGCTTTGTCTCTGGTGAATCCTCTCACCTTCCCCACCTCTGGCCTGTACCCTGGCTCTGTATGCATAAATAAATACATCTTAAGAAAAGTGGGGTGAGCACGTACCTGTAAGGTCTCTGGGCAATGGCTTCCTTTGCAAAGCTCCCTTACTGCCGGATGAGAGCCCTGCTCAGCCACCACACCATCCAGTCCCATCGTTTATGGGCAGAGCCTAGGGTGTGGCTTGAGCCACAGAGCAGGATCGAGCCTCAGAGCAGGGTCGAGCCTGGGCCTGTGGGCTGGACCCAGCTCACCAGGGTCCAGGGCAGGTTTCTCCTGCCCCCAAATTGCTTCCTCTGCAGGACTTTCTTGCCTTCCGGGAAATGCCTTGCTAACCAAGCCATCCCTAATGAGTTGGGGTTCAGAATCCCATTCTTTCACCACCATCTACTCCACAACAACCTCCCAGCCACTGGTCAACCGCCCTCATTTCACTCACATGTATTTTTTGAAGTAAAACGAGGAAGTAGCCCCCTCTGAGCAATCTGTGCTCTCGAAGTGTGGGGGAACCCCAGTCCAGACCGACCTGGCACGCCCAGGCCAACAGCTACTTCTCTCTTCTCAGCCAGGGGCCAGCTGCATCCCCATGGTCTCCCTGCATTGCTGCTTAATGGTCTCCACGGGCCCCCCACTTTTGCCTTGCTGAGCCCTGGACAGCAGACGGCGGTGGTGCCGCGCTCCTCGGAGAGATTTCCATTTTTAGAGACTCGGATGTGTCTTTGCAGGGGTCCAGCCCACAGTCTTCTAAGGACAGGAGACGCTGCAGGCTGGGGCTCAGCCGGCCCCGTGGCCACAGCCGACCCTGTCTGAAAACCTGGACTTTGCTCAGGCTGAATCCAGTGTGTGCTGGCGTTTGGCTGGGCCAGCAGGCCCGAGACAGGGCTCTCCCGGGGACCCTCCTGTCACACAGGAATGATCCAATTCAAGGCTAGGTGTTTGGGACTCGAGGTGGCCGTAGGGCAGACGTGTGGACCGCTTCGGGCTGGGCAGCGGCGGCTCCTCCACCCAGGCCCCTTGGCATCTTTCATTTCACTGTGCAATGAAGCAGGCTGTCCCCTGTGCAGGGGTGGGCTGTCTGAGCCCCTGAATGACCTGAGCCCCTCAGGACAGTGCTCACAAGGACGCCTGTCTGTGCCCATGGTGACTGACGCACGACGCAAGCGAACGCTCCTGGAGTGCTAGACGAAGTGGCTTTACCTTCCTGTGACCGGACCCTTTGCTCACACACAAATCCCCGTCCTGGGTCAGAGTCCAGCGTTCGCTCTCCTGAGCCTTTGGTCCCGGCTCCCCCAACCTCACCTTGTTTGTGAAACGATCCCAGTTTCACACAGGAGGGGTTGAACCGGTCTCCAGAGAGGTTGAGTGACGTGCCCCCCATGATTCGGCTACTGGGGAGGACCCAGCTCCCAGCCCGTACTGTGTACCTGCTGTACATGCATGTGGGGGGCCCCCAGTTTTTATGCTGAAACCTGATCACCAGTATTACAGTGGCAGGGCCTCTGGGAGGCAGTTTGGTCCTGAGAGTGGAGCCCCCTTGGAGGGATCAGTGCCTTGTAAAGGAGGCCCCAGAGAGCGCCCTCGTCCCTTCCACGAAGGGAGGACACAGCAGGAGGCAGGGTCTCCCCAACAACCATTCTGCTGACACTTGGAGTTTGGACTTTCAGCCTGGAGAACATGAGAAATGTCCCTTGTGCAAGCCCCAGTTTAAGGTGTTAGGTCCAGCAGCCTGCACGGGCTGGGAAGGGCAGCTCCTCCTGGCAGCCTCCCGGTGAGGAGCTCCTGCAGCTCCCTGATGTGCTCCTGACAGAGTTTCAGCAAGTAGTTGGTAGAGTGAGTGCAACCCCGAGGCTGCCTGGGACACTTGCCGCCCAGCACAGCTCACCAGCGCCTTGCCTTCCCAGGCTTGAGAAGCCGCCAGCCCGCGACGCTGAGAGGAGTCAGAGGAGTCTAGACTCCCCGACCGTTTACTTGTGTGGCATGCTGTTTATCATGACCGGGACTTCCTCTCAGTCTCTCCGCCTCCCTTCCGCTTAATCACTCACTGAGATTGTCTGCGCTCAGTTTCCCACTTGTTACTCTTCTTGGGTTTGGGCCATACTCATTGCTGCTGCACAGGAGGGTGATCTGGGCCAGGGGTGCACAGGTGGGGAGCGGCCGCCCCTAAAGAGCCAGGAAGGAGGGGCCAGGATGGCACAAGCACAGCTCAGGGCTTTGGGGCCAGGGATGAGGCGAGGGTGTTTCGTAGTTTACTCTGGGAGCAGCGGCGTCTGGTAGGTGCCACACGGGACATCCGGCCTCTCACCAGGTCAGCTGCACCGCAGCCCACAGCAAACGGCATCACCAGCCGTAAAAGCTCATGCACTCCGGCCCTCTGCACCCGACCAAGGGAAGATGCTGTTGGCCAGGGAGCCCCTCACCGCGGCACACGACGGCCCAGGCCCTCTGCCCGCTGGTCGCACACCCCAGGCTCTGCTGCCCCTCCAAGGAACCCGTGTTCCCATTTGGGAAAGAGAGGGAGGGGGGTAGTAATTTTCCATCTTCCTCCTCCCCTGGGTGACTCAGAAGAAAGCAAATCTGTTCCCAGCTTGTTTTCCTACGTCTGTCATCACTCTTGCTGAGCGGCACAGATCGAAGTCTGGATCCGTGGTCTGCCCCCCACTCCACCTCCCGATTGTGCTCCCCTCCCACCCTCAGAAGCTGCTCGCCTGCCAGCGCCAGCCTGTTTGTTTGCCTGGAGATGCTGCCTCACTGTCATCATTTTATTTGCAGTGAAAGTCCACAGCCCCTCGATGGTCCAGCAGCATGTGGGGCTCGGGAGAATGTGAGGATTGGGTGGCATTGCTGCCTCCGTGGGTTGTACCGCACGTCCCCAACAACACAGAAAGCTGAGGAAAGTCACACGAGGGAGGTGTGTCTCTGGGGTAGGTTTTGTAGGCCACGTCTGGACGAGCTCGGCTCCACTAAGTGACTCAGAGAAAAGGGCACAGTTCCCCTGCTGCTCCCGAAGGACAGGACTGGCTGTCTCTTGCTTAGGCCTGGAGCCATCTGGGTATTGGGAGGGACTTGCGATGTCCCCACTGATGCATGAGGCGGGGGTGGCTCCCTGAGCAGCTCAGACGGGTCTGAGGAGGGAGATGCGCTGTGAGTGATAGGCTGAGTCCCTGGGTGCAGGGACCCATGAAGAAGAAGGAAGGGCTCCTCCCTCTCCACTGTTCGCATTTCACCCACCACCACCCCTGCTGTGGAGACCACGGGGACCTGGGTGCACCCTCACTGCCACCTCCTGCTCCGGGCCCCCACCTCTCCTTTGAAGTCCAGCTCCCTCTGGTCTAAAATATTCTAAGCTGTGTATTTCTTCCCAATCACTCCTTTGCTTGATGTCTTCCCGTGGCCCCCCATTATGATAAATTCCCAAGTCCAGAGTGCAGCTTATTGCCTGCCGGTGTGCAAACTGTGTCAGCTGCCAAGATACAGCCTTCCTGACTTCCTACATAACCCTTCCCTGAGACCTGCCTTGGCTGTTCCCCCACACGGCCTAAGACCCTCCACGTCACTCCCCACCCCTTGCCCTGGCTGGGTGGAGCATTTCGGTACCCCTTCAGCATCCTGTGCTTAACCCGACAGGACTCCGGCCACTCTGAGTTTTCACTTCCTGCCTCTGCTCCCAAAGGCTCCTTCGAGCCCCTTTTGGGTGAGCGCAGGGGCCGGATCACCGCGCATGTGCAGTTTGCTCAGCTGAACGGAGGATGCCTTCCTGGCGTTAGGCAGAAGCTGGCAGCAGGTAGGAGAAATGGAGTTGCAAAAAACTACCCCAGGCTCTAGTGAGGGGGTGTTGTCTCCCAGTCAGAGTATCAGCAGCCTGAGGACAGGCACCCATCTGTCTTTTAAATAATGGGGCTTATGGCAGTAAGATAGGTTGAAAAAACATTTCTCTAAAGGGCCAGAGAATAAATATTTTGGGCTTTGCAGGCCAGTCTGTTGCGGTGACTTGACGCTGCTTAGGATGGAAGCCACCCGAGACAAGGCGTGGAGGAGTGGAAGGCGTGCCAGTGAATCCTCACTAAAACAGGTTAGTCAGCGTGTGCCAACCCCACAATAAGGAGACACTTAGTCATATGGACTGCTTGTCAGCTGCCTTCTTTTCCTAGGCCGTCTCCCTGCTCTTAGCACAATACGGAGCAGGTAGTGGCACTTAGCTACCTGGGTTTGTGGCTTGGACTTGCAGTCCGAATAGGACCCCAGGGGTGACTTGCACTTTCATCGCCCCTTCCACAGCCACTCCTCCCCCATTCTTATGGGCAGCACCCAAAGTGTTTTGGCAGCCAAGTGCCTAGCTCCAGTATATGAACCACCCAGAGTATTTGGTACCAAGCACGGTCTCTCCGTTTACCCAAGTTACCTCAGCATTGACCTGGGAGCGGTAGGTGACGCGAACTGCTATAGGCTAAGCCTGCAAACACTGACTGGTATGATTGTGCTCTCTAATGGAAAGAGGAAATCTCCTCTCTTATTTGAATACTGTTCAAAGAAAGTGTGATGCCAGCTGCTGCTGCAGCCTCATTGGAGCCAGGAGGGGAAGACCCAAGGAAATTACAGAAAACACCAGCCCAGAGCCCCGGTTTTGCTGAGCGTCTGTATTAACCCTGGAAATACCCATTCCCAACTTCTTGACAAGAGGGGTAATACCTGTCTGAGGTATTTACATGAAGCATTCTTCCCTTACAGTCTCGCATACCCCAAGAACGCTCTATATTATGGTGCTCATTAGTACCAAGAGGAGGCAGCTGAATACGTTCCCTCCAGCTGTGGCTTCCCCGTCTTGGATCAATCCCTGTTCACTTTCCAACCCAAGATGCGTGGTCCTTGAGAAGTTTTGTGATGAAAACCTAGATGGCAGGGAGCCAGGGGCGTGAGGAGCCCAGCTGGGGAGAGCTATTGTTTCCTCCTGTCTGTCTCAGAGAACCCCACGCCACACTCGCTTCATTTTAGACCCAAGCCTGTGCTGACGGAGTACAGCCCGAGAGACTACGAGGTGACAGGGTCTACGTAGGAAGAGGCAGGGAAGAAAACCCAGTGCTCCTGAGCGAGCCAAGCAAGCCTGTGCCCAGGGCGACACAGGTGCCTGACCGCTAACAAGAGTCCCCATCTGACAGCCCACATTTGAAGTCTTTGGAGGGATTCTTTCCTCAACTTGCGAGCTGGTTGTTGCTTGAGTGTTTTCCAGGACAGGCACTTGGCTCGTCTCCATCGGGTGCCCCCTCAGACCCCCTGTGTGGGCAGGGCCGCTGATCCCCGTCCTGCAGCAGAGGCTGCTGCTGGACACTCCTGTCGATTCCACTTTGCCCTCGGGCTCACTCCACACTCGAGACACCAAGAGACACTAACACTACCCGCACATCTCTACGAGCCCCCACGCGCCAGAAGCATCGCTCACCCGCAGTGCCCTGCCTCTGGGCAGCTTCCCTCCTCCTGCCTTCAGGGGTTGTGGTGCAGCTGCTTCCGGGCAACCTTGATGGTCCCGAGCCAGCGAGCGGTGGGGAGGCGGCAGTCTGTGCCACTGACACAGGTCTCGTGAGCACCTTCTGAGCGCACAGCACTGTGGCTGGACGGAGGTCCTGGGAGGCCATCCTGGTGTCTAGCTAGCCACAGCGTGCCTGAGCACCGCTCCCACTCTGGCCCTCAGGGTGGCCCGCAGACCTCGGGCTGGCCACTGTGTTACTCCAGCCTCAGGACCGGCTCGCAGCGCTTCTGCGCGGCATTCTGTGTTGTGGGGCTCTGGCGCAGGGGGTCTTCAGGCCCGGCCCCCAGACTGCAGCAGTGTCACCAGGGAGCCCCTTAGAAATACAGGGTCGCGGGCCCAGACCCACCTCGTAGGAACTCGGGGGCTGGAGCCCGCCTTCTGTACTGAAAAGCCCCCCACGCTGTACCGCACTCTCCAGTGGGGCGCCCTCCACAGGGAGCCACTTCACCCCCTGTGGTTTGGAGGCAGGGGTGCGTTTATGACCAGACCGACCAGACTGACCGACCAGGGCGGGCGGGCATCTATAAAGTGAGCTTAATGGTGGCAAATACAAACTGCAGGCACCAGCGCCCTCAGATCTTTATGTAGCATTTTGTGGTATTATTTTGCTTATGAACGGGCCCTATTTTACGGTCACTTTTTTAATGGCTTAATTAAATCCCCTTAATTAAATCCTCCATACTTGTAAGTGCACTAGTGAATTTAATATATAGGATTTCTTCTTAAGCACTTTTCAAAACCTGCCCAAATACTTTATGAATTCTGACATGGATAATAAATCGCTCAGTGTGGTGAGGTTTTTGACAGTCATTTTATTTACTTTTAATATAAGTTTATTTTTATATCATTTTGTGCATTTTTCCATCTCAGTTGTAATCCCCGTGGGCTTCCCATCACCCAATCACCCGTGTGCCATCACCATAGTCCAGGGCACTTCCCTCCCTGCACTGTTTTTGATCCCGTTCCCCACTCCACCCCATAAAGTGTCTCTGGTGTATAGCTGTTCTAAATGTGGTGAGTTTTAAGTTCTCTTAAACTGTAACAGACTGTTGGCAAACTTAAAATTCTCTTACAAGTTTCAGGTTACAAACCTGCCCAGGGCTACCGTGGGTGCACATTAACCCTCCGGAGCTGAAGCCTTAACATGGCGAAGACGCGATGTGCAGTCATGGGAGTTTCAGTACACTTGGAGAGTTTCTGCCCAGTGGACTGCGCCTGGGCTTCAAATCAGCACCGTAAAGCCTTGGCCGCGAGACCACAGGTTGCTCTGAGGTGGGAGGGGCAGGGGAGTTGGTTTTTCCAGGGACCTCAGCTGAACCCTGACCATAGAGACTCTGGGCGGGAGGGTTCCGGTCCCTTCGCCCTCCGAGTGGTCTCCACAGAGGGTATTGGTCACCAGGCTCATTTCCCCTGAGCCCCCTACACTCACCCCAGTGGGTCCCCAGTTTGAGTCTCTGGCCCCCCTGCTCAGAGCTGCCTCGCTGACATGCCTACCTGTGTAGATTCCTGGGTTCCCACTTCTTCCCACCTTTTTAGTCTGCTCTGCCACAGTCCAGAGAAGGACAGGGTTGGTGTCAGTTGAGAACATAGCAAAGTATTTTCCAGAAAGGAGAGTTTAAGCTGGGTTTTGGGGGTCACACCGGCCGGAGGGGAAACTGCACGGGCTCCGTTACGGTCCCACAGATACGATCTTGATAGCGGGTTGCACTGCTCGCCTCTCTGTCCTTGAGGGCCCCCCTCCCTTTGAGCCAGGCTCACCTACAGTGAGCCTATAGCTCCCCCACAGTGGGGGGTGGCTAGAGTGTCGGGGGGAGGGCACCAGGAAGGGGGTGAGCAGCAGCCCCTTGGGTCAGGAGCCACCCGGACTGAGCGGGGCGCTGGAAAGAGGCTTCGCCCCCAGGGTCACTAGGGTCCTCCCCGAGTATCTCCTGGAACTAGCAAGAGGCACTGGCCCTGCTGGGAAGTCACCATGTGAGGTGAGAGCGTGTGGGGCGTCTGGAATGTCCCCAGATGCTGCTTCCCCAGGCAAGGCGAGTGCCCCGGAAATTCCCGGGGTGGGATGCAGAGCAGATGGAGAAGCAGAATTCTCCCCTGCACCTGCTTCAGGTGTGATCGGCTCCTCAGCAGAGCCCAGCGCCCGCCCAGGGGGCCCCGGAGCAAACAACCAGTCCCTAGAGCACCGCGGCCAAGACGAGGCCCGGGAAGCAGATCTGCGGAGGGCCCAGCGTCCCAGACGGCACCCCTAGCACCACTCCCCTCAAAAAGGTTGAGGGGCTGATAAGCTTTTACAAACATGTCGTGGACCCCTCAGCTCCTCTGCAGGCCGATGCTGTTATTCTAAGCCCATCTTACACATGCGAAGCCGAGGCCGCCGGGGGCCGCTGCGTGGACCATTTCCAGGGACGGAAGCGGCTGGGAGCCTGGGCCCACGCGGGTGGCTGGGGTGACTGACGCGGCTCCCCTGGGGAGCGCGGGAGCCCGCAGGCCGCGCTCGAGTCTGACCCTCCCATGCCCTAGGGGGCAGCAGAGCGTCACAAATGGCCAGTGCCCTTCAGAGTCGGGGAGACTGGGGTTCGAATCCCGCGTCTGTGCTTGGCAGCCGGCCCTTTGGCGCGGAGGTGGGGCTCCAGTCTCCGTGGGGCCATGGAGGCGAGGCACGGGGCAGCCGCTGCCCCCTCTCCCCACCCCAGCTACCCAGGCCCTGGGGGCTCGCCTGAGCTGCCCTGGGCGCCCCGTGTGCGTCCCCTGCGCCACCCTCACAGCAGTGGCAACCGCGGTTCCATAGACAGGACCTGAACTCGGGTCTTTTGGCTGTAACTGCTGTGCGGTAGCCGCCTCCTAATCCTTCAGCCGTCACCCTGCGGCGGTGGACACACGACGCGCTGGTGACCTCCCCGGGGGCGCCGCGAGGCCCGGGACAAGTCAGGGGGCAGCATGACGGTTCCTGGGGAGGGGCGAGCGCTCCGCGAGGCTCGGGACCGCACAGAACGAGGCGTAGCACCAGCAGTCTGGCACACCCTTAGCTCCTAAATTGTTTATAGAAGCCTGCTGAAGTCTAGAACCTTCTAGCAGGCGGAGGTGTGTTCCCAGTTTAAGAATAGCTGCTGGGGCCTGACAGGAGGCGCTTTCTGCTGACATCAGAGGGGATCAGTTGTCTTCCCAGCCAGCAGCAGCAGCAGCAGCCTCAGGGGATGTGGCTTTCTCCAGCTTAGCTGCAGGCAGCTGCAGGCTCAGTCGGCGCCTGGGGCCTGGGTGACCCG